GTGTTACCACGGTTCTGACGACGACATGGGAAGGATTTGAAGCGGCGCTGAAAAGTAGATTCGACTTGGTGAACGCCTCCAAAGCTGCTAGGAAGCGTCTGCGTCATTTCGGACAGATAAAAAACATCCAGGAGTACACACGACGGTTCTTGAGCATCTGCAACGAAATAGACGATATCAAGGAAGTAGAGATGCGTGATCGCTACCTCGAGGGGTTGAAGCCGGACATAGCGCAGATCATAGCGATTCACGGATTGTCCATCTTCGAGTCGGTAGTTGCAGCAGAAGAACGCGTCTACGCAGTACAAAGCTGACAGGGTCGTGACGATCGCGGCATGGGATACAACAGACCAATCAACGACGCTCGATCAAGGGACGGACCATCTCCCATGGAGATTGGTGCAGTTAACAGTGACGGCTCACAGAAAACGGGATTTAGGGGGAACTGTCACTATTGCAAAAAGCTGGGACACATCAAGCGGGACTGCCCACAGCTTAAGGAGCGGCAACAGGGAAACGGAAACCACCAGTAGATAGCGGGTCGCTAGCTTGTATGGAGGCTTCCATACCCGCCAAGTTTACCGACGTAGAGGAGACATCTCTAGAGCAGTCACCTACGCTGAACTCGGTAGACGCTCTTGATCGTCCAGTCGTGCTTCTAGGGAAGCTTCGCGGTGTTCCAGTCAAGATTCTCATCAATGGCGGAGCTTGCCACTCGTTCATTTCTTCGTCGCTAGGTAGTTGTTTTTATCTTGAAGCAGATCCCGCAGTCAACTTCAAGGACGCTCGCATGGTAGATGGGACGCCTCTCCCAATAGGACCAATCATTTGCAAGTTGTGTGTAGCGCTAGGGCCAATCACGGCTAGACGCGATTTCGATTCTGCGACACTGGACGATTACGACTTCATATTCGGTAGAGATTGGTTGCGGATGGTTAGCACTCAGTTCGATTGGGCCCAGGGAAGCTGCAGCGTCAAGGTAGATGGCGAGTTCCGAGAGCTGCCACAGTGGAGAAATGGAGCCACATCCTCCACATCCATCAACAATGCTGTTCATGTGCGGTAGCTGGTGAAGCGAGCGGAACGGATCTTTGCGGTTTTCCTTGAGGAGGTGGAAGCTGAGGAGGGTAAAGGAGGGAGTGCAGCAGTTGGTAAGAAGGTGACTCTTCATGCCGAGGTGAGTGCACTTTTAGCAGAGTTCGCAAACGTCTTCCCCGACGAGTTGCCCCCAGGGTTACCTCCCAGCCGAGCAGTAGACCATCGAATCGAGTTGGAGCTGGGGAGCAGGCCAGTAGCAAGTTGCAGTGGAGGTTGAGTCCAGCAGAGACAGAGGAGATGGCGCAACAGGTTAGGCACTTCATAGCACAGGGATTCATACAGCCACCTAGGTCGCCTTGGGCAGCACCGATCCTTTTAGCGTCTAAGAAAGACGGAGGGTTACGGATGTGCATAGATTACCGCGCACTGAACGCCGCCAACGTCAAGAACAAATTCCGAGTGCCGAGAGTAGAGGATCTCCTAGATGCGGTGCAGAACACTAGAGTCTTCTCCAAGATCGACCTTCATTCGGGTTACCATCAGATTTGAGTAGTTCCAAAGGACCAGCACAAGACGATGTTTTGTACGAAGCAAGGGTTGTACGATTTTAGGGTTCTACCATTCGGTTTGACCAACGCCCCAGCAACGTTTCAGACGCTCATGAACACAGTCCTCTCCGAGTTTCAGGGGTCATTCGTTGTAGTTCACCTCGACGATATCCTACTCTTCTCCAAGACGAAAGAGGAGCACGTGTAGCACGTGCAGAAGGTTTTCAAGGTCTTGCGGAAGGAGCAGTTGTACGCTAAGCAGTGGAAGTGCGAGTTCTTCCTCCCCGAGATCGAGCTTCTAGGTCACGTTGTATCTGCTAGTGGCATTAGGACCGACCCGAAGAAGATCGCAGTCGTACAGGATTGGGTAGCACCGACCTCAGTCAAGGAACTGCAGAGCTTCGTCGGTTTTGCGAATTACTACCGTCGTTTCGTTCAGGGTTACGCATCGATCCCTGGTCCACTCACCGACCTACTTCGGAATGGCATAGAGTTTCTTTGGGGTCCAGCGTAGCAGCACGTGTTCGAGCAAATGAAGCAGTCTCTCACGTCTTCACCGACGCTGTCGTACCCTGATCCCACTCACCCATACGTTGTAGTGACTGACGCTTCAGATCAGGCCATAGGAGCAGTGCTTCTTCAGGACCAGGGACGCGGGTTGCAGCCAATCGCGTACGAGTCGCGTAAGCTTAGGGGAGCGGAGTTGAACTATCCCATACACGACAAAGAGGCGCTCACGATCATCCATGCGTATAAGGTGTGGAGGTGCCACCTAGAGGGGGCAGATAGTGTTATACGTACGGACCATTGCTCGCTTCGTTTCTTCAAATCGCAGCCGCAACTGAGTCGTTGCCAGGCTAGGTGGATGAAGTTCATGGAGGGGAGTTTTCACTACACGATAGAGTACAAGCCAGGCGTATGCAACCTAGCAGACCTGTTATAGTCACAGTAGGCTCCAATGTGCCTAAAACGAAAAATAGAGTGCACAGTCGGATTTCTGCACACCGGCTTCAAACGTTCATAGCGATCTGCTCACAACTCCAAATGACTTCCTTCAACTTGGATCTGGAGCGCCTTAACGTCGCCTACAATAGGCAATTTAAATCCCACGCTTTCATTAAGAACTGACGACACAGCGTTGGTTTGAACGAACGGCACTATGGCAGCAGCATAGTCTTAGAACACAAGATAGGAAGAGTTAGGAAGAGTTACGAGTTGGGAACGACTCCCAGCTCCTACAAACCCCAAGAGCCGAGGTACAGTGATGTGGAACAGTGCCACACCGTCCCCAACCACGAAGGGTCTCGAAACTACCCTTCACTAGGGCCTACACCAAGTGAAATGTTACACCACACAAAGTAATGTAAGTATCTTCAATATCTTGAGGTGCACCCTTTTGGCGAGCTTCGAAATCACTTGAGGCTTGACACCAAGGCTCGGGCTCTTCATCACAAACTCATCCTTGAGTTCTTGATGGGTCTTTTGCAAACACCTGCGACACGCTGAACGTTCGACACAGGACAAAATAGAAACCGCGCACGACAAAACAGAGACCGCGCGCGAGACACAAACGACCGCGTAACACGTGTCTAGCGATAACTCGCTATTGACTCGACACACACACTCGACATCATGACTCAACATTCACACACAATTATAAGCATGAAATATATATTATCCCATGCCCTCATACCATTCCATACACACACACATGCACGCACACGGACAACAAGCCGAGTGCAAACCGTAGGGTTGCACCAACAAACTCCCCCTCGGATTGTTGGCCTTAGGATATGTTGCTCTCTCAGTTCAGAGCCATCCCAGCCAGCTTGCAACACTTCCAATGCTGCTGCTCCACCATTCTCTTAGTCATCATGTCAGCCGGCTGCCCTGTGGTCTTCACGTACCGCAACTCAACTTCACCCGCGGTCACCATGCTCCTCGTCCAATGCCACTTCACCCTCATGTGCTTTGTGAGTCCATGCAACACAGGGTTCTTAGCAAGAGCAATGGCACCCTGGCTGTCACAGTAGAGTGGGGTAGGTCCTTGCTGCTCCTCCCCCAATTCAGCCAACAAACGCCGCTGCAACACAATCTCCCGTACGGCACGGAAGAGTGCCATGTACTCGAACTCAACCAAGCTCAAAGCTTGGTCAACCTGCTGTCAGAACATTATAGCTTAAACATTTGTGTAGGCTGTAGTGGGGTAGCCCATAAGGGGTACAACCCAATTAGGGTTAGTTCTTGTACCCAACTCTTTCATAGATCAATCATTCTCGTTTCTCATCATGGTATCGAGCAGGTTCCCAAGTGGGAATGCTGCCTAGGGCCCACCACGATTTTTTTTCCCTGCCCGTAGCGCGCTTCACTCCTACCCGAGTCGCGTTGCCCTACCTACCATCGAGCCGCCCTTAGTGGCCCCTTTGGCCGCCCTTACGGCCCCTCGCGTCGCCCTCTAAGGCCCCTCGCGCCGCCCTTACGACCCCTTACGGCCCCGCCTAGGCCACTTACGGCTCCTTACGGCTTCTTACCGCCCCTCCGCGGCCCCTTCTAGACCCCTCCGCGGCCCCGTCTAGACCCCTCCGCGGCCCCGTCTGGCCCCTTACGGCCCCTTACGGCCCCACCTAGGCCCCTTACGGCCCCTCTGCGGCCCCGTCTAGGCCCCTCTGCGGCCCCGTTTGGCCCCTTGCGGCCACGTTTCAGCCCCTCTACGGCCACGTCTAGGCCCCTCCGCGGCCGCGTCTGGCCCCTTACGGCCCCGTTTCGGCCCCCTCTGCGGCCCCATCTACGCCCCTTGCGGCCCCGTCTAGGCCCCCCTTGCGGCCCCGTCTGGCCCCTTTACGGCCCCGTTCAGGCCCCTCCGCGGCCCCGACTAGGCCCCTTTCGACCCCGTCTCGGCCCCTCTACGGCCCCGTCTGGCCACTTTACGGCCCCGTTCAGGCCCCTCCGCGGCCCCGTCCGCGGCCACGTCAGGCCCCTTTCGGCCCCGTCTCGACCCCTCTGCGGCCCCGCCGCCACCTACGGCCCCGCCGCCACCTGCGGCCCCGCTGCCACCTGTGGCCCCACCGCCACCTGCGGCCCCGTCCCCGCCACTTGCGGCCCCATCACCGCTCCGCCGCCCAGCAGGGACCAAGCCGCCGAGCAGCACAGCAGCCGAGCCGCCCGCCTACCGAGCAGCCGAGCAGCCCAGCAGACGAGCCGACGAGCAGCCGAGCCGCCCAGCAGCCGAGCCGCCCAGCAGCCGAGCCGCCCTGCCGCCGAGCAGCCTTGCACCCGAGCCGCCCTGCCTCCGAGCCGCCCTGCCGCTGAGCCGCCAAGCCGCCCTACTGTCTAGCAGCTGCTGTTCCTACTGGTGCTCCCCGGCCCCTCCTTCCTCGGACTGGTAAGCTCAATTCCTCCTAGGCCAAAGCAGTCATGGCTACCCCCAGTGTCCTCACTTTTGATGCTGAGGGCCGTGCCGTTGACTTTGAGGTCTGGGTCGATGACCTCCAGCTGTTTCTCCAGTGCGATAGGGCAGACGGCCTCTCCCTGTTTGACCTCACTTCTGGTGCCTCTCCTGCCCCTGCTGCTGATGCTGTCGCCACAGTTCGCTCACAGTGGGCCACGCGCGATGCTGCTGTCCGCCTTGCTGTGCGCCGTCACTTACCGACCACTGAGCATGCACACTTTAGCCAGCACAAGAGTGCTCAGACCTTGTACAACGCTGTAGTTGCACGCAACTCTTCCCCTGCCACTGCTGCACTTAGCCACCTCATGCTACTGTACCTCTTCCCTGACCTTGCTGCCTTTCCCACAGTCGCTGACCTCAATACGCACCTCCACACTAGTGACACTCGCTACCGCGCTGCGCTTCCTGCTGAGTTCTGCGCCAAGAACCCCCCCCCCCCCCCCCCCCCCATGTACATCACCCTCTACTACATAGTCACCTGGCTCCTTGACTCGCTCCGCGTAGTCAGGGACCACTTCCTCTCTGTTTGCCCCACCACTCTCACCGTTGACCTCCTCGAGAAGGCCCTCCTAGCGATAGAGAAGAGCATAGTCACTGTAGGAGCCTCTCGTGGTGACCCTCGAACCTCCGTCTTTAAGGGGTGTTCTCCCTCCCCCCTCTTGCCCTCTGTTGCCTCTGCTGCTGCGGCCGACCTCGTTGGTTTCGAGTCGGTCGGCGCTGCGTCTGCCCCGAGCGGGAAACGCCGCACCGGTAGGGGCAAGGGGGGCAAGGGCACTGGAGGGGCTGGAGGGGGCGGTGGAGGTGGTGGTGGAGGCAGTGGAGGGAGTGGGTGTGGTGGTGGGAGTGGTGCCGGGGGTGGCGGTGGCGGCGGCAGCAGTGGAGGAGGCGGAGGCGGTGGAGGTGGCGGAGGGAGCGGAGGCGGCGGAGGTGGCGGAGGAGGCGGAGGTGGAGGAGGCGGCGGAGGCGGCGGCGGTGGCGGCGGCGGTGGTGGAGCGGGTCGCGACTCTGCGCAGAGGAGTGGCTCAATTGGTGGTCCGCGCCAGCAGCAGCGGAGTGGTGTGACCCTGTCCCCTTAGCAACTTCGTGAGTGGTACACTGCGCGTCAACGCGGTGGGGGTTTTGGTCCCTGCACTTACGTCCTCCGTACCGGCGACCGAGCTGGTGAGTAGTGCGGAGGCCCGCACTCCACCCAGCGCTGCTTTGGTCGCCTGACGGACGCGTGGCGTTGCCAGTTCCCTGAGGCGTCTGAGATCCCTCGCTGGGGAGATCTGTCTAAGGCCGGGGTTGCTATCTTTGATCTTGATTTTGATGCTATTCTTGCTGCCATGTATGCTGTTGATACTAGTGTTGCGGGTGACTGTTACCTGTGTGTACTGCCTGACCCGGGCATTGAGGCAGCTGCTCTAGGTGCTGTTGAGGTTGGTGCTCTAGGTGCTGTTGAGGCTAGTGCTCTAGGTGCTAGTGCGTCTGCTGCCCCAGGTGCCAGTGCGTCTGCTGCCCCTGGTGCTGGTGAGTCTGCTCTCTCAGGTACTACGTCGGCTCAGGCCTTCCACACCTTCACCCTGGACTCGGGTGCGTCCCGCTCCTTCTTTCGAGACCGCACCACTCTTACGCCGCTCAGTCGGCCGGTTGCAGTCTCCCTAGCAGACCCCTCTGGGGGTCCTGTCCTTGCTAGCTTCTCCACTGTCCTACTGGCCCGGCAGCCCCCTCTGGCACCCTGTCTGGTCTCTACCTCCCCTCGTTCTCTACGAACTTGGTGAGTGGAGCGGACCTACAGGATAGGGGGGTTGTTCAGTTCACTCCTGCGAGTCAGCGAGTGACCCACTGCACGTGTGCTCGGAAAGGCCGACACTTGGCCACGTTCACCCGTCGGCCAGGGTCGAGCCTGTACACCCTTACTACTGAGTCTCCTCCTACTGCTGAGTCTGCCCAGGTAGCTGCGTCGAGTCAGGTGTTTGCTGCGGCGTCCAGGTCTGGTCCTGAGACTGCTCCCTGCTCGTATCGTCTCCTGTCCCACCAGACTCTCCTTTGGCACCACCGCCTTGGTCACCGACACCTCTTTGCCGCCGTTCGACGACTTGGTCTTTGCCACTGCTGACACTGCTGGACTCGCCCACGTGAAGTCCGAGCTGCAGAAGAGACATACGTGCACAGACCTGGGTGAACTGCGCAACCTTGGCTTGCACATCACCCGGGACAGAGCACAGCGCACTATTACCCTGACTCAGTCACACATGGTGCAGCAGGTCCTTCAGCGCTTCGGCTTCACGTACTCCTCGCCTCAGGCCACTCCTCTGTCTACTCGCCACTCGCTATCAGCTCTGCCTTCGGATGAGTCCGTAGTGTCGAGTGGCGCGTACCCAGAGCTTGTTGGCTGCCTCATGTACCTGATGACCTGCACACGACCTGACCTCGCATACCCTCTTAGCATCTTGGCACGCTATGTGGCTCCTGGGAGACACAGACCAGAGCACATGGCTGCAGCGAAGAGGGTGTTGCGCTACGTGTGCAGTACGTCGGGTATGGGGCTAGTGCTTGGAGGGCAACGTCAAGTGGTCCTCACAGGTGACGCTGACGCTTCTTGAGCTGACGATTAGGCTCTGCAGCGGTCGTCACTGGGTTACACCTTCAGCCTTGGATCCGGCTCTGTTTCGTGGCGGTCTACCCGCTCGTCTTCTGTTCTAAGCTCTAGGTGTGAGGCTGAGATCTACGCAGGGGCCATAGCTGCACAGGAGCTACGCTGGCTCACCTACCTGCTGACTGACCTAGGAGAGCCGCCTCGTTCTCCTCCAGTTCTGTACGTAGACAACAAGGCCATGCTGGCCTTGTGTCGGGAGCACAGACTGGAGTACAGAACGAAGCACATTGCTCTCCGCTACTTTCTGGCTCGTGAGCTGCAGCAGGGTCGTCAGATCCGCCTCACCTACGTGGCCTCTGAGGCCAACACTGCTGATATCTTCACCAAGGCCCTTCCGCCTTGTGATCATCAGCGCTTCTGTACTTTGCTAGGTCTTGTGCCTACCTGGCCTCACTTGCTCACCTCTTGATCTTGTTTGTACTGTATTCTTTCTATACCCGCACTTGCTTGTTTACCTTTATATATATGACAGTGCATGTGAACTGGCCTTGTGGCCTTACTCTTGTGCTCGGACTGTGTGGTGACTTTGTGATCCACCCTGAGCTTGCTTTGCTTTGCTTGACTGGTCTTGTGACCACTTGTTCTCCCCCACTTTGCCTATGGGGGTATGTCAGAACATTATAGCTTATACATATTTGTAGGCTGTAGTGGGGTAGCCCATAAGGGGTACAACCCAATTAGGGTTAGTACTTGTACCCAACTCTTTCATAGTTCAATCATTCTCGTTTGTCATCACCTGCTTCTTGCTCTCCCAAGCAGTTGGGCCTCCACCAACACAGCATATGAAGCCTCCCACACTTGTCATGTCCTCTTGTTCCGATGCATATGAAGCATCTGAGTAGGCGGTGAGGAACAAACGCCCGGGTTCAACACCATCCGCGCCCTTTTGTCGCCTTTGTGCTGCCGCCGAGTATTGCAGCCCAACGGTCGGTGTTTGGCCAAGATACTTGGCCACCCTCATTCCAGCTGCTACCTGCTCCTCATTAGGGCATTGCACAACCCTAGCCAGCTGCCCGGTAGCAAACGCGACGTCCGGTCGGGTGTTTACCGCCGCATACATTAGGCTGCCCACCAACGAGTGAAAACGGCGCCTCTCCTCTTCTCCAATGCTCTTCTCCTCTGGCCCCTTCACACACTTGAACCCAGAGGGAAAGGGAGTATCCACATGACCTTCACTCTGGCCGAAGTTGGCGGCCAATGCCTCCAGGTACTTCCGTTGGTGCACTCGCATGCTCCGCTTCTCCACGTCTTGTTCGATGTGGAGCCCAAGGTAGAAGTTCACGTCACCAAGGGACTTGCACTTGAATTTTTCTTGCAGCTTCAGCATCACCTCCTTCACAAGGTCAGAAGAGGGTGAGAAGATGATGATGCCATCTACGTACACCACCATGAAGCTCCTCTGCTCCCCCTCGCCAAGCATGAACAAGGAGCGATCGGCCGTTGAGGGAGTGAAGCCGATCCCCTCCAACACTTCGCGCAGCGTCATGTACCATTGCCTAGGGGCCTGCTTCAGCCCATAGAGGGCCTTCTTCAGCTTCCACACTCTGCCACTACCATCGTCAAACCCCTCTGGCTGCGCCATAAAAATCTCCTCCTCAAGGATGCCGTTAAGGAATGCCGTTACTGTCACAGGATCGAATCCCCAATCAAAACTTGTCCCTAAAACTGAATACAAGGCATTTTTATACTCGGAAAATACAAGGATAAACGAGATAAAACGAACCTTCGAGAACACGCCCTTCCCGATACTACAATCACAAGTGCGCACAAGCACGCAAGGCTATTGGCACTTGGGATTACGCCCAGATTACGCCGTATACACCACTGTCGGCGCTGTCGGTACGGTATAATAGGTATGTCGGTGGGAAAAGTAGGAAATAAGAGAAATAAATAGAAGGCTATAGAAAATAGAATAGTAGGCCGATTGAGATGAGATAAAGACCAAAATAAAGAGGAGAAAAGGGAGAATAGGATAACGGAAAAATATAATATTGAGAAAATATTATAATGGGGACGTCGTCTCACACTTCCCCCCCTCAAAGCTGGGTGGTAGAAGTAACACCCTGCTTGACAAGGTAGTCCTGGAGAGGACGGCGGGCGTTATCCATGTCATGTTCAGGTACCCAGGTATACTCGGAAGGATCATAGCCTTTCCAACGAATCAAGAGCCCCAAGGTGCCGCTACGTCGTCGTCGGTGCACCAGAACGGCTTCGACTTCGTACTCGGGTTCCCCATTAACGATCACTGGCAGTGGCGGCGGCGGCTGGCGACCTTTGAAGACCGTGTTTGGGTCCCGATAGGGCTTGAGAAGTTGAACATGGAAGGCATTGTGAATTCTCCAGGTAGCTGGTAAACGCAAGCGGAAGGTTACTGGAGTGACCTGCGCCTCGACGAGAAAAGGTCCGCAGAAGCAAGGTCGGAGCTTAGACGGAAGATGGCTAATGTCGAGATTGCGTGTATCCAGAAGCACTTGATCGCCAATCTTGATGGAATGATCGTTGCGACTCCGATCAGCGAGCTTCTTTTGTTGCTGCTGGATAGTCAGAAGACGTTTATGCGTGCGCTCCCACAATTGGTGCATAGTGGTAATGAAGTCATGTGCAGGTTGCACCGTGGCGGGTACTGTTGGTTTCTGAGGCGTGAGTGGGTTGCGAGCGTGGGTTGAGAGGAAGAAAGGAGTTTGCCCTGTTGCGGCGTGCGTGACGTTGTTATACGCAAACTCGAGAACCGACAGGTGTGCATCCCATTTAGAGACATCGTCCTTACACGCTGCTCGCAGAAGCTGTTCGACAATCTGGTTGAGGCGCTCTGTCTGACCATCCGTTTGGGGATGATAGGCTGATGACATGGCGAGTTTGGTCCCCATGAGCGAGATGAGCTCCTTCCAGAATTTACTCGTGAATTTCGGGTCTCTGTCGGAGATCAGCGTGGTTGGAATGCCATGTTGCGAGATGATGTAGCGGAAGAATAATTGCACTGTCTCCTCGATGCGAGCCGTTGTGTGTGTCGGAATGAAGTGTCCCATTTTGGAGAATTTGTCGATGACGACTAGAATGGCGTCGTAACCAGCTTTGGTAGGTGGTAACCCGGTGATGAAGTCGAGGCTAACCACTTGCCAAGGCTGTTAAGGGACTGGAAGAGGCTGTAGTAACCGTGCTTTCTTCTGTTTGCTGCTCTTCATCCGTTGGCATGTGTCGCACGAGGTGACGAATTTTTGTACGTCATCCGCCATGTGGGGCCAATAATAATGCTTCGCAATACCGGCAAGCGTCTTGTTACTACCGAAGTGGCCCGCGTAGAGAACATCATGATATTCTTCGAGCAGTAACTGGCGTAAAGGAGGGTAATTAGGTACCCATATTTTTGTGGATCCCTTGCGGTATGCAATGTCTTGATCCCAATGTAGAAGATGGCGCTTTTCTGCTACAGAGACTTCGGGGTCGATGGTGTATCCATGCGTGAAGAGTCCCTTCAAAAGTGGGTTCATGCCATCGACTTGTAGGGCGGCAACGTGTGCAGGGCGACTGAGTGCGTCTGCCTTGTTCTTGTGCCCCGGCTTATACACGATGTCGTAATGGAAGTGGGTTTCGAGAAAGTCAATCCACCAGACCTGCCGCCTGGAGAGTGTTGGTCGGGTCTTCAGATACCTGAGGCTGCAGTGGTCGGTGTAGACGGTCGTTTTTCTTCCTTCGAGATAACACCTCCATGCCTTAAATGCGTTGACGATGGCGAGGGCCTCTTTGTCATGGATGGGGTAATTGAGTTCTGCCCCGTGAAGTTTTTTACTGAGGTATGTAATGGGTTGCAGTCCTTTCCCTTGATCCTGCATGAGTATTGCGCCCACTGCTTGATCGCTAGCATCGGCCTCGATGACATAGTCAAGTTCAGGGTCTGTCAGGATAAGGACAGGTGCGGACGTGAGTGCGGTTTTAAGTTGTTCAACGGCTTCCTGGTGCTTCGCCTCCCATTGAGATGGTGTATTCTTCTTCAAGAGGTTCGTTAATGGTGCGGCAATCTTGGCGTAGTTCGGTATGAACCGGTTGTAGTAGTTGGCGAATCCAAGGAACTGTTGTAATTCCTTCACGTTCTCAGGGGTCTTCCACGTTTGCATTGCTTCGATC